GTGGCTGCTAGGGTTGAGCAAGAACCGTTCTTACCTATGCATCAAAACCACAACGATTTTTTGTCAAGTTAGTGCTGTTTTAACCTTCAACAAGGACCGGGCGTAGCCACACTCGATTCAACTAAAGTTGGAGAAACTGACACCTGCAAGCCACCTGTGTGCAAAGCACGTCGGTAGAACCAGTCTCGCGTAAGTGTACGCGTAATGTCGGTCCGGGTCGCTTCATCCAACAATACCGCCAAATCAATGTATGACATGCTGGTAAGAAGTATGACTTGTATTGCCCACAACTCACTTGTGTTCTACTCGTGCATATAACATCTACGCATAAACCTGGCTCGGATGCCACTGTTGGGGAACGTAGTAATTTCAAAATAATTCCTACGCACACGCAAGATCATGGTGATGCATAGCAAGGAGAGGGGAGAGTGTCGTCCACGTACCCTCGTAGACCGTAAGCGGAAACGTTATGACAACGCGGTTGATGTAGTCGTACGTCTTCACGATCGACCGATCCTAGTACCGAACGTACGGCACCTCCGCGATCTGCACACGTTCAGCTCGGTGACGTCCCACGAACTCACGATCCAGTAGAGCTCCGAGGGAGAGTTTTGTCAGCACGACAGCATGATGACGGTGTTGATGAAGCTACCGACAAAGGGCTTCGCCTAAGCACCACTACGATATGACCGAGGTGGATTATGGTGGAGGGGGCACCTCACATGGCTAAAGATCAATGATCAACTTGTGTGTCTTGGGGTGCCCCCCTGCCCCCGTATATAAAGGAGCTAGGGGGAGGCGGTCGTCCAAGGAGGAGGGCGCGCCAAGGGGGAAGTCGTACTCCCACTGGGAGTAGGACTCCTCCTTTCCTAGTAGTTGTAGGACAAGGGGGAAGGAGGAGAGAGGGGGGAAGGAAAGGGGGGCGCCGCCCCCCTCCTTGTCCAATTCGAACTAGAGGGGGGGGCGCGGCCTGCCCTGGCCGCCTCACCTCTTCTCCACTAAGGCCCAATAGGCCCATTACACTCCCCGGGGGGTTCCAGTAACCCCTCGGTACTCCGGTATATGTCCGAACTTGCCGGGAACCCTTCTGAAGTCCAAACATAGTCATCCAATATATCGATCTTTATGTCTCGACCATTTCGAGACTCCTCGTCATGTCCGTGATCATATCCGGTACTCCGAACTACCTTCGGTACATCAAAACACATAAACTCATAATACCGATCGTCACCGAACGTTAAGCGTGCGGACCCTACGGGTTCGAGAACTATGTAGACATGATCGAGACACATCTCCGGTCAATAACCAATAGCGGAACCTAGATACCTATATTGGCTCCTACATATTTTACGAAGATCTTTATCGGTCAAACCGCATAACAACATACACTGTTCCCTTTGTCATCGGTATGTTACTTGCCCGAGATTCGATCGTCGGTATCTCAATACCTAGCTCAATCTCGTTACTGGCAAGTCTCTTTACTCGTTCCGTAATGCATCATCCCGCAACTAACTCATTACTTACATTGCTTGCAAGGCTTATAGTGATGTGCATTACCGAGAGGGCCCAAAGATACCTCTCTGACAATCGGAGTGACAAATCCTAATCTCGATCTATGCCAACTCAACAAGTACCATCGGAGACACCTGTAGAGCACCTTTATAATCACCCAGTTATGTTGTGACGTTTGGTAGCACACAAAGTGTTCCTCCGGTAATCGGGAGTTGCATAATCTCATAGTCATAGGAACATGTATAAGTTATGAAGAAAGCAATAGCAGTAAACTAAAATGATCAAGTGCTAAGCTAACGGAATGGGTCAAGTCAATCACACGATTCTCCCAATGATGTGATCCCATTTATCAAATGACAACTCATGTCTATGGTTAGGAAACCTTAACCATCTTTGATCAACGAGCTAGTCAAGTAGAGGCATACTAGTGACACTATGTTTTTCTATGTATTCACACATGTATTATGTTTCCGGTTAATACAATTCTAGCATGAATAATAAACATTTATCATGAAATGAGGAAATAAATAATAACTTTATTATTGCCTCTAGGGCATATTTCCTTCACCAGGTACCAGCTCGTGTCCACCCCGTACTGCAGTGCAGCGAGGTTGGTCGACTTCTCCTCCACACCTTGGTTGGATTCATCGTAGCGCTTCCAGCACTTCCAGGCTGGATGGCCCATCTTGACATAGATCTGGCACTGGACCCTAGGGGCAGAGGCATGATTGTTGTTGTAGTTGCCTCCGCCGCCGTTGTTACCGCTGTGTCCGCCGCCGCGCCCTCCAGGTTTGGAGTAGCCGCCACCGTGCCTGCCGCGGTCACCACCATTGCCGCCTTGTTTGCGGACGCGATCACCACAGCCACCGCCATTTCTACGGCCTTGGGTAGCAGCGTTGGCATAGGACTGTGAACCTCCGCCTCGAAGATTTAGCCTCGTCTTGAAGCTCAGCAGCTGTGAGAACAGCTCGGCCACGGTCACCGGCTCCACCCGGGAACACATGGCGGACACCACCGGGTCGAAATCTTCATCTAGCCTAGCCAGGATGTGAGGGACGATGTCATCGTCGTCCACCCTCTTCCCTGTAGTGATCAGTTCGTCGCAGAGGGACTTGATCTTCCCAACATAGTCGGTGATGGAGGAGTTGCCCTTCTGCAAGTTTGCGAGGGCGATCCGAACATTGGTGGTCTGGGAACGGGTGTGGGATGCAAGCATCCCTTCCACCGTGTTCCAGAGCTCAGCAGAGGTGTGGCATGAGGCGACCTGGATAGCTATCTCACGAGGAAGAGTCGTCAGGAGATAGGAGAAGACTTGTTGATCTTGTGCATACCAGATTTGGAATTCAGGGTTCGGCGCCTTTGCCGTTGTCTTGCCATCAGAAGAGGCCACATCGATCTGCATGGGAGGTGGCGGCTGCTCGACGTCGAGGTACTTGGCCATCTGTGCTCCCCGAATGGCCGAGAGCACCGTCGCCCACCACAGAGCTTGGTTGCCCTTCGTGAGCTTCTCCGTGACGGCGTGCACGAATGGAGACGATGGGAAGGAGCTTGAAGACGTTGCCATGGATGCGCTCGAGGATGGCTCTGGTTACCATGAAAAAACTAAGATTGGAAGCATATGCATACCGTAGGAACGCGTGCGTGTTTTAATAGGCAAACAAGTACATGGTACGGCTAGGTTGTTGTAGACTTGATCCATACTCCAAGGCTATACAAGAGAGGATCTATCTACTCTAACAACCTGCCTAGATACAACACGACACGACACGCACGCATTACACAATGACACGATACACACGTTACAACTTAAACAAGCCTATACTTTAACACAAGGAACAATAGAGGAGAAGCAGAAAAGAGCTACGAAAAGCAGCCAACACCAAGAACCTAGCACCTATGACCACTAGGCAGACTGAGAAAAGCGCGAACTAGTTTGTTGTGATTTAATGGTTGGACTTTTTTGCGAATGCACCAACATCCAATCTTCTCGCCAAATGTCCACAGATTGGCCCGTTTGCAAGGGATCCACCAGACATATGCATCTGGTATATACCAATACGATCTCTCCTACTTTGAGATACCCCCTAAAAAAACTTACTTTGAGATATGATCTCTTACTTCCAATCCACTACGTCTACGTGTGCATCAAAACAGCGGAGACAAGGGGGTTTCTTTTTGGGTCACGCTAACTGCCACACGTGTGGCAGGAAGAGAGACGCACCACACGTCTCTAATGTAAACAGATTGCCACGTCATCGCATGCATGCATGCAGGAATCTTTTTGGATTTTCAGTTTTTAAAATGTTTTATCTCTTAAACGAAAAATCCGATTGAAAATCCGTTTTCACCATTAAATCCCTCGCGATGAGATCTTCGAAACTAGATCCCATGTTGATATGTTTTGATGAAATTTTTTTTGGATTAAAAGTTGCCATGTCTATTGCATATGAATTGCCATGATGTTTACACTGAAGTTGCCATAATATAAAAGTAATTTTTGATATTTATAAAACGGAGAATTAAGAAACTAGATTTGCCATGAACCATAAACTAAAATTGCCATGATACATGCACGTAAAATTGCCATGGTTCATACAAAAAACAATTTTCATGGTCAAAGTACTGGAGTTGCCATCATCAAAATACTAAAATTGCCATGATCTAAAAACTAAAATTGCCACATGGCAACTTTAGTTTAAGCCCTATGGCAACTGCAGTGTAAACATCGTGGCAACTTCTGGCAAAAAAAAAAATTCGTCGAAACATATCAACATGGGGTCTAGTTTTGAAGATCTCGTCGAGACGGATTTAATGGTGAAAACGGATTTTTAGTTTGTTTTTTTATTTAGGAGATGCAACATTTTTAAGCCAAAAACCAAAAAAAATTCTGCTGATGCCATCTATTCATACGTGGCAAAATGAGTGGTGATGGAGGCGTGTGGGCGATGTGCAAACGCTCACACGTGTGGGCGTTAACATTTCCGTTCTTTTTTGGATTTTTAAAAAATCTTTTTTGAACTTGGAGTCAAGTTTGACTACTATACAACAATCTTTGTTTTCCGGCCAGTTGGGGTTATCTCGATCCGATCTTAACGCCGAGGCTGAGCTCCTCCACGGGTCAAGTCTCCTGCTCCATCGATTGTTCTCCACCGGATCCACGCCGCAGCACGCGCGCGCGCACCGCCATGCCGCCACAGCGGTCACCTGAGCACCGCCGCCTCCTCAGCTCCCCTCCGGCCGCGACCAGCACGCCTGCACCGGCAACCACGGACGCAGCTGCCGTGTCCTTGCCAGACGCCGTCGTCTCTGACATCCTCTCCAGGCTGCCGGTGAAGTGCGTGAGTCGTCTCCGGTGTGTCTGTACAGGGTGGAGCGCCCTCGTCTCCGACCCGGGCTTTGCCGCCCTGCATAGATCTCGCCAGGCCGAGCCCCTCATCATCGCCAGCGTCTACCAGGAATACCCCTGGGGATCCCGCGACCTGCAGCTCATGGACATGGATGGCAATGTTGTGAAGGTGATAAAGGACGGAGGCAGCATCGGGTTGCTATCCACAAGCATGGACGGCATAGTCTGCGTCACCGATGCTTATTCTGAGGACGCTCACGTGATTGACCTAGCCACGGGGGATGTGCTCGTAGACTGCCCAAAATCGAGGCCTAAATCAAGAGGCGGCATGTTGACGTGCTTCTGTGGTTTCGGTCGCGCCGTGCCGTCCGGCATGTACAAGGTGCTCCGCCTTTGGTCGGATAAAACCTGTGAGGTCCTCACTGTAGGAGAAGACATAGAGTGGAGGTGGATGGAGTCGTCTCCAACTAAGATAAGCTCTCCTCTTGCTGTCAATGGCAACATTTACTTTTTGATCTCATGGTACCTAGATTGTGACTGTTTAGTTTGCTTCGAGCTCGAGAGCGAACAGTGGAAGGAACCAATCAAAGGCCCAATGAGCACAATGGATTCCGGGCCATGGAGTAGGAGCGGAAAAGTTTGCATAACTGAGCTCAACGGTTCTCTATGTGTGGTTCGGTTGGTGGAACAAATGACAATATGGCTCATGACCGAATCCAATGAAGATAGGTGGATCAAAATGTACACGGTCACAATGGCCCCATCCACCTATTGTGCTAGGCCTCTGTGGGTTACACGCGATGGTGGAAAATTGATCTTCTACTCTTGGCTACATGGACAAGCACCGGTACTCCAAGTTTATGATCCTCGCTCCGAGACATGTTCAACGCTGCGGGAACTAGAATATGACGTTGAGGTAATTCGTCTTTGCAGCTTGCAGTTGAACCGTTTTGTCATGAGGAAGATTTGAGGCGCACGAGTTTTCTTTATGGAATGCCCATATAGTAGTTGAATCCACTGTACTTTTAAAAGTGTGCGTCTGTATAAAAATAACACAGTCAATCTCAACACATATGATTTGCGCAGACATTGCCAGACTCGTTGCTGAAATTCTTTGTGTGTCTCTACAAGTTCTTGCTTCTACAATGCGTTTATGTATTTGGAGTACGCGATGTGGAAGAAGATCTATAATAAGTATAATAGCAACGATCAATTTTGCCGCCACATATCAACCCACCGATCAAGTCGTCCTCCTCGATCAAGCAGATTTTGATTTTTAGGGGATGCCTTCTTCGTAGCCTCCTCTCGTATATTTGTAGTCAGCTCCCGCATGACATAGGCCAGGACCGCATGGAGGCTCAAGGGATCAGCCCACATAGTGTATAGTTAACAGTTTTAAATTTTGGAGAAATCTTTGATAAACCGTCTATAAAAACTTGTGTTCCCAAGGAAATTCTGCATCCCTTTCAGATCTTGAAGATAAGGTAACATCTCTGTAGCCATGACCCGCCGCGTATCATGGAAAAATCCTAGCTGAATTTGAGAGGAAGTATCAACTGCATCGGTGCACACATGTCTCTCCAACCGTTCAATGGAGAAGAGATGACCAGGATCAAACTGTTCTCATGTAGGAAAAGTGTTGAAATATAGATGGGAACTTTGCTTTTTATTAAAATCAACCAGCACTCCAGCTTGGTTGCAACTTTGGATTTTGCTCTAAAACTAAGTTTTTGATACAAAAATAAGTTTCGTCATGTTTTAAGTTTTTTTGTTTTGGATATACACCAAGTCTTATAAAATTTTAAATAAATCACCTGTGTTTCATCAAGTTTTGCAAGTGAGGCGTAGGGTTGATTCTCTGAAATTTGATGATACTATTATAAATTTGATGGAACTCATATAGGCTTTGTTGGGAGCCCGATGCGGTCCCCCATCTGAGGTTTATGGCCTATATCTTGTTTGGATTACTCGACAAAGATAGTGTCTTTTCTTAAATGTTCCATGTTGGCAAAAGATAGTTTATTCCTCAACGCGTTAATCCCTTCCGTGAGACGCCGTATATGATATCAGCGTACACATGTACTCGGCAGATATATGTCATGCAGAGCTGGAAAGCGTTCGGCTTATAGCTACGCCGTGTACCGATAGGCGGTGCTCGGCTTAGATCTATGACAGGGCGGACACGGCGCCGCCACCCCTTGCCGCTAGCCCTCCTCCTCCTCCCCTTCCCCGCCGCCGCAGGCCAGAGCCGCCGGGGCAAAGCCCCCCGCGGTTGCTGGCGGCGGGGGCCTTCTCCCCTCCTCGTGTTCATGGCCTACGGGAGTGGCCAGGCCGAGCGGAGGCGCCGGGGCGCGCGATCCTGGCGGCGCGGCGGCGACGATCTTGACGGTGGCGGGCCCGTGACGTGGCTGCAAATGGGTCGATGACGAGCTGTTTGGCGGCTACGTGTGGGTCTCCTCGTGGTGGCACGTGCGCGGCATCCGGCGAGGGGTGGGGACGCGGCCACGGTGGCTTCTCGTGCGAGTACGCGGAGAAGAGGCTGCGGCGTGTGTCCTCGGGGAGGATGGCTATCCTCGCCCAGATCCGTCGGCGGCATGGCGGCGGAGGTCGCAGTGCCCGGTTAACGATGGCGGAACTTGGCCGGTGGCAGCGGCGAGGTTCTGTCTGGATCCCGGGGCAGCGGCCCTGGAGGGTGGCGGCTGGTGAAGCTAGGGCTTCCTGCGGCGGCATGGCGTGGTGCAGTCCCTGTCCAAGGAGAATCTGTGACGGCGATCTGCTTTGGATTGGTTCGGATCAGAGACGATGACGAGCACGCGGGATCCTTCTCGACGGATCTCCCGGCTTGGCGAGGCGGGCTGGGAGCCCTCCTCGTAGTCTCCAGTTGTGGCACACTCAGGCAGTGGCCGGTGCCCCAGGGATCCCACGGTGGCACTGTTGCTGTGGTTGGTCGCCGGGTCAAGGTAGCTGGATCTAGGGCTTTGAAGGCGGTCGAGACGGTGCACAGGTTGCTGGTGTTGGAAATATGCCCTAGAGGCAATAATAAATTAGTTATTATTATTATATTTCCTTGTTCATGATAATCGTTTATTATATTGTATTGATAGGAAACTCAGATACATGTGTGGGTACATAGACAACACCTTGTCCCTAGTAAGCCTCTAGTTGACTAGCTCGTTGATCAATAGATGGTTACAGTTTCCTGACCATGGACATTGGATGTCGTTGATAACGGGATCACATCATTAGGAGAATGATGTGATGGACAAGACCCAATCCTAAGCCTAGCACAAAGATCGTGTAGTTCGTATGCTAAAGCTTTTCTAATGTCAAGTATCATTTCCTTAGACTATGAGATTGTGCAACTCCCGGATACCATAGGAATGCTTTGGGTGTACCAAACGTCACAACGTAACTGGGTGGCTATAAAGGTGCACTACGGGTATCTCCGAAAGTGTCTGTTGGCTTGGCACACATCGAGACTGGGATTTGTCACTCCGTGTGACGGAGAGGTATCTCTGGGCCCACTCGGTAGGACATCATCATAATATGCACAATGTGACCAAGGGGTTGATCACGGGATGATGTGTTACGGAACGAGTAAAGAGACTTGCCAGTAACGAGATTGAATAAGGTTCGGGATACCGACGATGGAATCTCGGGCAAGTACTATACCGCTAGACAAAGGGAATTGAATATGGGATTAATTGAATCCTTGACATCGAGGTTCATCCGATGAGATCATCATGGAACATGTGGGAGCCAACATGGGTATCCAGATCCTGCTGTTGTTATTGGCCGGAGAGTTGTCTCGGTCATGTCTACGTGTCTCCCGAACCGGTAGGGTCTACACACTTAAGGTTCGATGACCCTAGGGTTATAGGGAATAGATGTACGTGGTTACCGAATGTTGTTCGGAGTCCCGGATGATATCTCGTACGTCACTAGGAGTTCCGGAATGGTCCAGAGGTAAAGATTTATATATGGGAAGTCCTGTTTTGGTCACCGGAAAAGTTTCGGGTGCTATCGGTAACGTACCGGGACCACCGGGAGGGTCCCGGGGGTCCACCAGGTGGGGCCACTGGCCCCAGAGGGCTGCATGGGCCAAGTGTGGGAGGGGACCATCCCCAGGTGGGCTGGTGCGCCCCCCCCACCAGGGCCCAAGGCGCCTAGGGTTTGGGGAGGGGGCGCCTCCACCTTGCTTGGGGGCATGTTTCCCCCTCTCCCCCCCTTGGCCGCACCCTAGATGGGTTTTGGGGCTGCCGCCACCCCTAGGGAGGGAACCCTAGATGGGGGCACAGAACCTCCCCTTCCCCTATATATATTTGAGGTATTGGGGGCTGCAAAGACACGAGTTAATGCTCTCCAAGGCGCAGCCCTACCTCTCTCCCTCCTTGTCTCCCACGGTTCTTGGCGAAGCCCTGCAGGATTGCCACGCTCCTCCACCACCACCACGCCGTCGTGCTGCTGCTGGACGGAGTCTTCCCCAACCTCTCCCTCTCTCCTTGCTGAATCAAGGCATGGGAGACGTCACCAGGCTGCATGTTTGTTGAACGCGGAGGCGCCGTCCGTTCGGCACTAGGATCATCGGTGATTTGGATCACGACGAGTACGACTCCATCAACCCCGTTCACTTGAACGCTTCCGCTTAGCGATCTACAAGGGTATGTAGATGCACTCCCCTTTCCCTCGTTGCTAGATTACTCCATAGATTGATCTTGGTGTTGCGTAGAAAATTTTGAATTTCTGCTATGTTCCCCAATAGTGGCATCATGAGCTAGGTCTATGTGTAGTTTCTATGTACGAGTAGAACACAAGTTGTTGTGGGTGTTGATTTTGTTCAATATGCTTACCGTTACTAGTCCAATCTTGTTTCGACGGTATTGTGGGATAAAGCGGCCCGGACCGACCTTACACGTACACTTACGTGAGACAGGTTCCACCGACTGACGTGCACTTGTTGCATAAGGTGGCTAGCGGGTGCCAGTCTCTCCCACTTTAGTCGGATCGGATTCGATGAAAAGGGTCCTTATGAAGGGTAAATAGCAATTGACATATCACGTTGTTGTTTTTGCGTAGGTAAGAAACGTTCTTGCTAGAAACCTGTTGGTGATATTACCACTAGGCGTAAACCGGCAGCCTGGGCCGGGTTAGCTTCATTAGTGGTATAAGCAGAGAAAGGCCCAAGGCCTGTAGTCGGTTAGAACTTGTAGCCGTAAACCGGCCTGATGTATAACTTGTATTGTAAGTTAGGAATAGAGAGATACCAACCGGGATACGAGTATGAACCGGTTGGGACTCTGTAAACCGACGGGCGTCACCCGTGTATATAAGGGGACGACCCGGCGACGGTTCAAGGACAGACAACCACAACTCGAGCCTAGGCGAAGCTTGTTTGCTCCCTAGCCATCGAGACCACATCAATCCCATCACAACTAGACGTAGGCTTTTACCTTCATCGAAGGGGCCGAACTAGTATAAAACCCTTGTGTCTTTGTGTCCGCTTTAACCCCTTCAAGTAAACTCGTTGTGATGGCTCCACGACTAAGTCCTTTCACTAGGACATCTGCCGTGACAAATCCACGACAGTTGGCGCCCACCGTGGGGCTATCGCACGATGGTTTGACGATCTTGGAGGGCAAGCTCAAGGGACTCGAAGGCTATGTTGTGGGCCGGATGACCAAGAGTCGTCGTGGCCGGATCTACATCGACGATGCAGGATGGGGTCCCGAGGCCGATTCGGTCGAGTACGGATACCGGGTCCCCTTTGGTGGCATACACGTTTTCATCGGCAAGATCGGTGAGCCTGGGCCTGAGCCGGACATCTACACCGACCTCGTCGAGACGGCTCAGCGTGCGAGACCTACCCAGGCTAAACCGGCCGTGAAGCGTGTCTTCGTTGGAGTCGTCCACGGAAGAGAACGTGAGGACGGTTCAGAACACGGTAGTGAGACCGTCGTCTATTCCGGTGAC